CAATCTGATGAATTCCTTCCTGCCCACTAGGCAGGAAGAAGAGATCTTAAAACAGCAACAAATGTTCTCTCTGGGTGGTGAGGCTACCAATGGATTTTTTTTTTTTTAATAAACTATATTGAGTAAATTTTCTTACAAAGAGAAAGAAAAGTTTTTAATGTTCATAAAACACTACACTCTACCATTGAAAGGTTATTTCAAGCCTTCCCATTATTGGCCCTAGAGTTCAACAAAATAATGAACAAGAAATAATAATTCCCCAATACTTACTAGAAAAAAAGACAAAGACACTGAGTTGGAACAGCCACGTCTGACCTAAGGAGACAGCCCTGCACAAAACAAGAACACCTGATACCATACACCCAGCCTTTCGCCGTGTTCTGATCCTGCCCTGGACTCTGAGGCTGTCAGGCTGGGCTTCCTCTTCTTAACCAGGGAATCAGGGGCACGCAATGAAAGAAACGGATTTTTTATTCCTTCAACAGCCAGCCAATGGTAGGGTGTAGATGCTATCTCCCTCTACTTCATAAAACCGTGTGGGCAGATGTAACCATATCCGTGTAAAGGATCAGGAAACTGAGGGTCAGGAGAGTAAGAAGCTTGACCAACGAGAGTCACAGAGCTATTAAGCATCAGACAGAAGACGAGAATTGAGGTGCGTCTGCTCCAGAATCACGATTCTTTCTACCAAGCTGTCTCCCTTCTCTAAAAAATACTCTCTTATGTTGGTAGCTGTAAATTCCAACTGTAGTGTTCTCAGATCAGTGTGGATCACTATACATACTGGATAGAAAAGAAATGAGAAAGGCAACTGTCAGAAAGTTCTATTAATTGCTGCACCACACTCTCCATAGCAGGGCTTCCCTGGTGGCTCAGTGGTAAAGAATTCACCTGCCAATGCAGGAGATGCGGGTTCATCCCCTGGGTCGGAAAGATCCCCTGGGATAGAGGAGCCTGGCAGGCTATCCGACGCCACTGAGCGACTGGACAACAACTCTCCAAATGGGGCTGGGAGAGAGGCACTGACACTTATTCACAGGATCCCTTCTGTCATCTCAGTCATCAAAATCAGTCCAACTCTTTAAAAAGGCTTATCACTAACACTCCCCCTAGCTGAGAACTTGTAAATGGCATTATCAAGAAAATATGTCACTTCCCTACAGAGAACCTCTACATTCCAGGTGCATCAGCCTTCAACTTTTAATGATAAAAATAAAAGGGAATTTTTTTCAACCCCAAAATGGCAGCTTGCCAAGTTAAGGTCACTACAGCATGCTGACCAGAACACTGGTTTTGCAGTTATCCAGATCTAGGCTTTTTGGTTGTTAATATTTATTTACTTATCTGGCTGTGCAGGGTCTCAATTATGGGAACTCTTAGTTGGAGCATGAGGGATCTAGCTCCCCAACCAGGGACCGAAGTCTGGCCCCTGCACTGGCAGTGTGGCGTCCCAGCCACTGGACCACCAGGGAAGTCCCCAGATCCAGGCTCTTAACCGAGTTCTGCCACCTAAATAGATGTGCAACCTTAGGCAAGTCAATTAAATTCCATAACTTCATATACAAAAAAGCCAAACTAGAAAACTTCTCCATAAATAATTCAATGAGATAAGAGCCCAACACTTAAAAACAAGGTGGATATTTTACGATACTGATAATATATATAGTCGTATCTGATACTTAAATGATAATTATACCATCATATATAATACGTGATAGATAGATACATGGTCTGAACTCTTGATTATATGATGTAACAATTAACTGGTTGAATCTGAATAACTGACCCAACTGAAATATTGATTTAGTTCGGCTTAGTTCAGAGGCATTCAGATATCCTAGTTCAACTGCTCTAAAAAAATGTTGAGGGTTAGTCAGTTTTTAAAAGTAGGTATGTATGTGTATATACGTAAGTGGTATGTGCATGTATATTTGGCTAACATCAGAATTTCATTACACACACATACACACCTGGACTTTTTTTGTGGTTCAGGCTGAATTTTTGTCCACAGGTCTGCTTACTACAATGAACTCCAAGAGAGCAGGGACTAAATCTGCACTGCTCATCTTTATATACCCAGCACCAATATAGGCCCTGGCACATACCAACTGCTCAGTAAATACTCACGGAAATGAATTTTCAGAAAAGCCACTCAGCAACCTCAGTAGCTGTAAGATGCAGGAGGGCTCAGGTTGGTAAGGGGAATGTAATTTCCTCCCTCCAGAGATAATCGGCAGGTTTTTCTTTTTTTATTTTCAAATAATGACTAAATAAGTCACACACTGGATATCTCAGTAGCAAAGTTTTTACAAACCAAACCAAAATGGAAAACTCTAGAAATAGTAGCGTCCCAGAGTGGAAGAAAGAAAGTCAGTTTTGGAGTCGCGCAAGTCTCGGACTCGAACGCTGGCTCTAGCACTTCACAGACTGACTTGAGCCCAATCACACCTGCCGCCTCTGAGCCCCAGTCCCTAACCCAAGAAGACGGGGTAATACCTGCCACCTAGGGCTGTCAGAAAGCCAATACATATGAAGCCCTGACTACACCGGTGGTGAGCGGGTTGTTTTTAAGTTTTATTGAGGTAAATGAATGATTTTTATTTTTTTAAGTCTTTAGCATTCCTTTTCCTCTCTCACAAGCAGAAGAAACTAGAGGAATACATTCTGCCCAAAGGAACCTACAACACTAACTTTACTCCTGCTTTGCAAAAGGTACGAAGTATCAGCCAATAGACAGGCTAGTTGGCTCATGTTGGAACTGTTTCTTGGTACCTGTGGTCATTTAAGGGGCTCTTTCATGCAATGCCAGAGCTCCAGCACAGTCAATCAGGCTCTTCGGGTAGCCTATTCCTGCTTTTCTAGGGCCTTCTTAAAATGGGCTTGCTGAGAATATGAATGCAGAAGTCATCTTTGTGACAAAAATAAGATGTAGCTTATAAGAAATAGGCATTCTTTGAAAAAGCCCCTATTCTATTAAGTCACTAACTTTTAGTACTTGTTTTGGATACTGGAAGTAGACAATTAAAATAATATATAAAACCAAAGAAGTCTTCCAAGTTCATTTACATATGTTTACTTTCCTTTCACAAATGGAGCAAAATAGAATGATTTGCTAACTCCAATCAGCTAAGTACATATTTCACTTTGCTGTGCTGCATATTCTTCCATAAACTAAAGAAAATAAAAATCTAAATAAACAAAATTCCCCAATACACCTCTGAAGACACTATTTGTTCCATTAACATTTCAATGAATATCACTCAATATTTCACCTTATTTTAAGGTCTATTGGAGGCAACATTTATATTTTTTCTCTTAAAGGATTTTCACTGGGAGACATGAGTCAAAGAATTAACTTATCTGGGTTTCCATTTTCAAGGTAGAAACCCTGTTTGCTCCCTCCCACTCACCCCAACTCCAGAGAATTCACAATACTGCTACTAAAATATACTGAATAATGCCTTCCATTTGGTCAATTACTTTTAACTGAATGCAATAAAAATAATCTGCACTTCCAGATGTCATTAACAACTACAATTCTTCGCCTGCTTAAATTTCTGGATAAAAACTGGATCAACCACTAAAAAGCAACTGTAACATTCAAGTAAGCATTTTCAGAAAAATAGAAGACAAAGATGTACACACTATTACTATAATGCAAATATCCATTATTTAGCACCAAGGAGAGCACATGCAATAATCTCAGTCTGCTATTTCAAAAACATTTTTGTTAAAGTTATATCACATGCAGAGAAGTTGCTTTTCCAAGAGTAAATATGCATTACACTGGAGCATTACTGAAACACCCAATCCCTGGACCCTTAGAGTCCTAACTCTACTTTTCATACAGACTCTAAGACAGCTGGATCTTATATTGACTTCACTCTCAAGTTAACTGTTTTCTAAAGAAAGCAATCTGAATCAATAACCACACCAACACAGCTCAGAATGTTCACAATCCCAATATGAAGGAAATTTTCCCCCTTTCTGGCTCCCCAAGTGCATTTAAAGACTGTAAACATGAATAGAAAGATTACCTTGAGAACAGTAAAGTAAACCCATACCATCAATAAGATCCCTGTAAATCATTTCCTGATTCTACAGTGTTTTCCTCAAACAGGGCAGTCTCAACAGGATGCCAGGAATTCAATACTGCTTTTTAAAGATATATCAAACTGTCTGGAATATACAGTGATGAAAACTGAATACCGCTACTGAAACCATACTAAATTAAACACATGCTTTCTCTAAACAGAGCTTCCCCAATAAAGTCACAATGTTTTCTGCCTTGACTCTTAGAATTCATCCCAATATGTGAGGTCAGTCCAGCTACACTCCTGTTAATAGCTTTTATTGGAGAAACCCCTCCCACACCCTCAAAGAGTTTTACTTTTATCTGTGGAATTCTCTGCCAGCCTCGGCCTGGAAAACTGGGTGGACCCTAAGGACAGGTGTCAGATCTGGTCTTTGGGAGGTGGCCCAAACTGACAGTTATTGCCAGCATAAAGCTGTGATCTTTATAAACTTCAATTTGAGGCTTTATACTGTTAGTGATTCCCTCTCCACTCCTTTGTGGAAGGAGGGAGAGAAAGCAAGCCAAAAGGATGAGTTTCAAAATAGAAAAATCACCACTTTAATTATGAAACCCTCCCAACTCAAGAAAGAACTGTTAAAAGTAGCCAAATGGAAAATGTCAAGGTTTTGGGGGTACATGCACAACTATTAAACATGAGAATCACAGATTCAAGGTGGGGGTTGGGAGGATAAAAAGCAGGAGCAGAAAAAGAGGAGCAGAATAGGGCCCAGCCAAAGACCCATTTGCTCAGAAGGGCCCCTCTTGGTATGAACTCCTCCACGTAGGGCACCCAGGCTGGAGGAAAGCAGAGGGTTACACAGAACATTCAGCAGACTTAACATTGGATTAAACACACTACTGCAAGTTTCAACAAATGTTCATGGTATACGTAAAACACATTTACAACAAGAAAGAAGAGAGGCACCTGGAGACATCTGACACTGGGCATGCTCTGCAGGCAACTCAGTGCGCACATGCTCTCTACCAGGCTGGCGCAGCCTAGCCACAAAGACCTTGGCACAGAACACTGCAGGGTGACAAAAAGGAAGGGAGAGAAGAAGCAGTTAGAGGCCGCGCAAATCACTCCTTCACACAGGCAACTTGAATGTTAGTCGGGCGGGGGTGCACCCATGGCAGCTTGGAGGTCAGGGGTGGTAGTCCAGCAAAACTTACGGAAACCTGGGAGAGGGCCCACTTTCTGTCCTACGGAAAGGAGGTTTCTGCTGCCAACCACTAACTCCTCAGGAGGGTACAGTGAGCAGAATCAAGAGGGAGAGAAAGAATGTTTCAGTGGAAACCCATTAAAGGGAACTGTAAAGTTTGAGGGAAAAACAAGATTAGCGGTGAGACTGTGACTCTAACATCATGAGCTTAGCAGCTCTGTCGTGTCCAACTCTTTGTGACCCCATGGACTGTAGCCCACCAGGCTCCTCTGTCCATGGGATTCTTCAGGCAAGAATACTGGAGTGGGTTGCCATGCCCTCCTCCAGGGGATCTTCCCAACCCAGGGATCAAACCCATGTCTCCAGCATTGCAGGCAGATTCTTTATCATCTGAGCCACCAGGGAAGCCCCAGTGGTTTTTGGTCTATGTCGTATAATTACAATTGCCATCATTACATTACCTACTATGGGGCCAGGCACTTTAAATGTGTTCTCTAATCACCACACCACAGTGTCAAGAAACTGAGGTTCAAAGGCAAGTCATTTGCACAAACAGCAAAGGAGGGGAAAGTCAGAATTTCAAACTTTGGTTGCCGCTATTAAAACCCACATTCGTTCCACAAAACTATGATGCCCCTATTATAAAAACTTTGATCACCTGAAACTTTATCATCTGGGTACAGTTTTTGCACTTCCCTAAATAAAATCACAGGAGACCTAAAGACACAGGCAAAAAGAACAAGAAAGATGAGCAATAGACTGATAGGTAAAGGAAACAAAAGAGCTGATAAAAACACATCTGATTTTGAGTGTCACCCAGATCTCTGCCTTCCCAAAGGGGGGAAAAAAAAAACTTTAGAATAATCATGACTTTCATTTTGGACTTTGCTTGCAATGTTCATTTAACACAAGTAAGAATTAAAAGTTTATTTCATTTACCCATTCCCATTATTCTTTAAGAGCTTGCTGGTTTTAAGGGAATTAAGAAAAAAAGTAAAATATAAACAAATACAACATAGCTAGTATTTTTAAACCATTAGATTATTTGTGGTATTCAATAAGTACTTTTTCAAACCTAAGGTCAATTAATTTACCCTGGCAAATGAATAATCAAAAATTAAAAAATCTGAAGGTGGGTGTTTGAATTCAACCAAAATACTCCAGAAGTCTCAGACCCAACCTCATAGACTTGTTTATTCTAGCTATAATTAGGATGGTTAAATATACCCACTTTCCTGGGACAGTCCAAGTTTACACCAGTCTCAGCATAACTTTCTCTCTCAAAAGTGTTCTGGTTCGGGAGGTAAATTCTATGGTTACCCCAACTACAATATAAACAAAGACCGCTATGCTAGAACTCAGGTAAGCCTGGGTTCCTGCCAATCCACCACCTGTACTTTCTAGTTAAATCCCACCTATAATGTAATAAGAGTATTGAGATTATTGGGAAAAGGCATTTAAAGAATACGAAACCAGTGGACTCAAATGGAATAAAAACTGAGCAGGTTTTTGGTAATGAAGAAAATACCATGTATTTCCAATAGTATGCTTCCATTTCAAAGCTTCCCATAGCCAATATGGTAAAATTATATCACTGATACTCCAGGCATACATATGTCATCACCCCAACACTTTGAAAGAGTGCCATAAAAGATGCTGAACAAATGTTTGGATAATATAATGACAAAAGGTGCCATTTATCAAGGTCTTGTTATATGCCAGACAGTTGACATAGTAAACCCTCACAAAAACCCTTGTAAGACAAGTATGATTCCATTTTACAGATGAGGAAACCAAAGATCACGAAAGCAGAGCTTGATTTGTTTAAACAGCAACTTCTTGAAGGTGCAAGAAAACAAGGGCTAATTGATGACAGAACTAGGACAAGAAGTTAATTCTGTCTGACTCTAAGCAAACATGTTTTCTTTCCACTACAACAAACTGTATCCAGAGATATCTAGCAAAACATTTAGAGCACAGAAAATGCCCAAACACATTACATGTGTATCTATACGTAGATTACATAGATTATTTAATTTAAATGCCCAACATCCTCATGGTTCAGTTTAAGTTCACTTTTTGGAAACTCTGTAGTTATCCAAATCACAGAATCACTTAGACCTGAGAACAGACTTCAAGGATTACACTTGTATTCAGCAACTAATACCAAATTAACACCAAAACTCATCTGCAAATCAATTTTCATTGATTCAGTAAAAACAGGTTCCCGCTGCAGAGTTTAGTATGTAATTACCTCAAAGGGTAAGAACCATGAAGGCATAAGATAATGTATTCTGATTAGGTTCTGCTAATAACCTGAGATCCAAAACTTAAAAAAAAAGAGAGAGAGAGACCAATTTTCACATTCGCTAAATCAAAGAATCATGGATTGTGAGCTCTGGACCAATTAGTTCAAATTTCTCCCCCGCCCCCAGAAGTGAAGAAACTAAAGCCCAAAGAAGAAAAGTAGTGAGTAGTTTCCTAATCATCTAATGACCTAATTAATACTTATAAAAATATGGAAAACAACATAAAATAAACCTGAGAACCTAATTTCAAAATATTAAATATTTATTACAGGTATTTTTTAAAGCTTGACATTGAACTTGTATATTCAGAAAAAGACTTTTAAAGACAGTGCAGTTTCTAAGAACTTAATCTTTATAACACCCATGGAAGATATTCTGGAGTAAAGAGAGTGATGCCAGTATTTATAACAAATATTAGAACTGCCCTACTTTCACAGTCAATTACCTTGGAGCTAAATAACCAACCACAGTGCTGAAAAATAGTTTTTACTCAACAGAAAATGCCACTCTAGGAAATACATCTATCTTTTAATAAAGACGCCTATGCTTGCTAGTCTAAATAAGGCTACTCTTAGGGCTAACAGTCCAAGAGGACATTGATCTATTTGTAAAGCATGGCTAAACGTAACAGTTCCATATTTATCAACCTAAGAGCATTAAAATGCAGCTTTGACCACAAGCAGTAATGGATTCTTGAAGCTGCTAATTTTAAACTTACGGACCTGATTGAGAATTCATGTTGACTATTATGGAATAACTGATTATCCATCATTCTTTCACTGAATAAGGCAAAGCTCTCTTCACGTGAGCTTCATAGAGGCACGCCACACACTATTATCTCTCTTTCTTTTTTTAAAAAGCTAACAGTGGTCTATCTTTAAACTTTTGGAACATTATCTCATTATTAAAATATGTCTGAAGAACTTATCCTGATACCATGGGTATTTATCAATTTTAAGAAACACTTATTGACCTACTTATTAAACTAACAACAAAACAAACTAAGCCTCTTTCCTCTTGAGATTTCAGCCTGGAGCTCAAGAGAAGCATAGTGGGATCACAATGAAGATGCCTAAGGGGTATAAAACCCCTAAGAAATGTTTGTTTTATTTTCACATTTAGCAAACAATACTCTAATTTAGGGTTGTCCACAAAGAACAGGAACTAATTCACATGGGGTTCTAACAGGAAGAGCAAATAACCAATTAGATTGATTTATATTTATATGTTGTATAGCCAAAGAAAATAACATTAATCAAGGAAACTGACAGTGTTTATTAATTTTGTCATACACACTGTATAATCAAAAACCAATTTCAGGGCCACTATGCTGAGAGACACTGTAATGCTGTAAGGACAAAAAGAATAATAGCTTTTGGCATTTTTCAAAAGCAAAGTTATTAACAGAGGTAGGAGAGAAATGTCCTAGGCTCTCTTCCTATTGCCATAGGAACCACAAATCAAAAGGGGAAAGTGGCTGCGGGCACCTTGCCTCTGATTGGCTGGCTTTGAGAAGCACTCACAAAAGCTAACTTTGGTCTGTGTCTAGATGGAATTGTTTTTGAATATCTTGCCCTGATTCCTTCTCAAAGAGGCAATTCTTTTACAAGTTACTCAAAGGGGTATTTTATGTTAATTGTCTCTCTGATTTAGAAATATGCCCTATTATAGGTTTTCCATAAATCGCTCCAATTTTTTTCTTTAAACTACTTTCCACAGAACCATTACCCACTGCTTCTATCTCCTATCATTGTGCTTGAGATAACCAAGTTGAGGCGCTTAAATTCTACTCCATTCAACAAAAAACTTATCTGAACTTATATCTGTGGACAGAAAAACAATTAAGACCTTCTCTCTCCCCTGGGAACTCATAGGAGGGAACTTTGAGAATATGCCATGTAAATAACACACACACACACACACACACACGCGCGCGCGCGCGCACACGCACACATACACACAGTCTTAACACACCCAAAGGAGGAAGATGCCTGAACTAACCATAAAGGATGAGTAGGAGGCCACCAAGGGAAAAAAGGAGAGAAACAGATATTCCAGGCAGAATGAATAGCATAAGCAAAGCTGAGTAGCTAAGAAATGACAGTCCTATGCAAGGAACTGCAATTAATCTAGCATGACTAAAGTTTCTAAGTGTGAGCTGAAGAAAGCTTAGAGACATGGAGAGGGGCCAAATCACAGAGGTCTCCCCACACCTTTCTGTCGAACCTGAGGCTTCATCCTGTACGACAACAGCTGACAACAGCTCTTACACTGTGTGTCACAGCTCACCAGTTAACAGCCAATCCTACCCAGGTGTATGGTCCAATTTTTTTTTTAAATCAACACAGTTATTCAGTGGCAAAGAATCCACCTGCCAATGCAGGAGATGAAGGGTACAAGAGTTCTATCTCTGGGTGGGGAAGACCCCCTAGAGAAGGGAATGGTAACCAACCCACCCACTCCAGCATTCTTACCTGGAAAATCCCATGGACAGAGGAGCCCAGAGGGTTACAGTCCATAGGGTCACAAAGAGGTGGACATGACTGAGCACACAC